AATTAAATGTTGGGCTCAGCGGTAGTAAGACTAATTTCTTTTCGTTTTCTCCTTTCGTCTGAGCAAGCAACCAAACTCTTGTCAGAATTTGTGGCACACATGCTAAGCAGCTGATTTTAACCCGTTTTCTTCATCTCTGGTCTGAACCACAAGCAGAGCTGTGACCAGATAAGAACTTTGTGTGTGCGCTGGTTACTACAGAATGAATAGTTAACTTGCATCCTCAGGCGTTTCTGTTGGTAATCCAGCTGTGTTGCTTAGATGAAGTCACAGTTGCTAAATGGAAAAGTTGGGCCTCGCAGGTAGAACAGTTTGCTGCTGCTGCTGTGTGTGGACACGAACTCTCCTTGGGATGTCATCTCCTAGTTATGTTCATAACCAGTAGTCTTGATTAAAAGTTTGGGTACTGCAGGTCGTCATATTTCAGTAGCTCAGGTGTTTGATGTTACTGCTAATTAAACAATCCACCATTTTCTCCTGGCCTCCTTTAAGAAAAAAATTAACATGCAGCAGGTCTGTATATGAAGGTCATGGGAGTAGTGGGGCTCAGGCTCATGGATTTTTTTTTTTTTTTACGTGGGCTTTTTATTTTTCTTATGAACAGAACATGTTTTTGGCCATTATCAATGATACATATTCCGAAGTCAAATCAGATATGGCACAGCAGAAGGCAGAAATGGAACTGTCGGACCTTATCAGAAAGGTAAAAGTCATGTTTTGTGTATCTCGTGTCTCGTTCCTCACATCTGAACTTATTCCATAAAATGCTGTATAAACTATACAAAGTAAAATTGACGACAGCTAATGAAAAGGTACACCTCTTAGTTAAAATAAATGAATCGGAGCTGAACATGAATTGAAAGTATGAAAACTTTGCATCACAACTCATTTTAGTCACTTTAAAACATAGCTTTGCATCAAAGGATCAGCCTACTGAATACCAAGATAAGATATGCCTACCTAGGTAGATATTGCAATATTAAACTGATGAAACTACACCACTATTTAGTTTGGTGACAGATTTCCGAATTACTTCTTACTTCGGTCAGTACCTCATTCTGTGCAATAAGATGAGTCAAGTCTTGGATTATGTGTTGGGAGCTCCCAAGGGCAGCTGCGAGTAAGATCATCTAATACACAGTTAAGAACTTGACCTGAATCCCAGGAAAAACACGTGCACCTGCTGGCTTGGGTACAGTGCTGTACCATGTGCAGAAATGTCTAAATGCATACTCAACATGACCAGTAATTCAGTATTTAGAACTTGGAGACTGGTTATTAAAACCAATTTAATTAAAACTACTTGATTAGGAAGTCATTCTTCAAACTGAAGAATCGGAGATATTCAAAATGACCACAATAAGTTGTATCTAGTTTGTCAGCATTATTTAATGCTGTCATTTAACTACTGTCAGGAACTGCCAAAGGTGTCTTTACTGGGACAGAACATCTGATCTGTAATGCAAATTAAATGATGAAAACTTTACCTTTAGCTGCAAGGGTATTTATGTGTTGTTCATTTAAATACTGAAATAAAATATGTAACATATGGATAAACTGGAGAAAAAGATGGATTCTTGCACAACTTTTGGAATACACTGAATGGAAGTGTACACTAGTGGATTTTTGTACTCTTAAAAAAGGAAGTCATTAGAAATAAAGTGTTAATAAATAAAACATTAAAATTCTACTTTTTCTTCTAGGGCTACAACAAAGCCATGATCAAACTTAAATTGAAGAAAACTACTGTTGATGACATTTCAGAAAGCCTGAGGCAAGGTGGGGGGAAACTAAATTTTGATGAACTCCGACAGGATCTAAAAGGGTAAGGAAGCTGCTATTTCTTAATCTTGAATAGTGCCATCAGAGACTTGGGATGCAGAGACTTTGGTTCAAGTCTCTCTTGCCTCTGTGATGTGGCACAAGTATATGCTAATGCATAAAAAGTCGATACAGAAGAGTACTTTTTGTTTCTGTTGGCGAGTGGGAAACAAAGCATTTGCTTTTCCTGTGTCTGATGGGAGGTTCATGTAAGCAAAGAGATGTTTATAGGCAAACATTGTTTTCATATGGGTCTCTTGGCACTGCAAAAAGGAGAACTAAAAAAAAAAACTGTGGCATGGGAGTGAGAAAGGAAGGAGGAGAAAAACGTGAGATGAATGGCGTATCAGTTTGAGATGACAAAAAAGTCTTGGCTAACGAGCTCTGCTGAGCTGTGTGGCCCATGGACTCTGTACTGTGGCTGGTGTCACTGTCAAGAGGCAGTATCCCACGCTGGAGGAAGGCGTTGGTGCTTTGAGGACCACCCTCCTCAAGTTGCTGTATTGCTGGGAAGAGAGGGTTTGAGGAAGCAGAGGTCTAAGCCCTTTGAAGCATTAGTAATGTTTCTGTGAGAGCAGGAACTTGTGAAGGGGCAGAAGCCCAAGGAAAGGGGGAGAATTAAGGAGGTATAAAAGCGTTAGCTGGGAAGGAGCAGGGTGCAATCTAGGGGAACTGATGCTGGTAAGTATAGTAAAAGGGAAGATAAAGTAGAGGTGAGGGCTAAGCTCTTTGTTGTGGTCACTCTTTTGAATCCCTGGTGGGGAGAATTTCTAGGCAGTTCTGGATTCAGTTGTGTCTTTGGCTTGAGGATGAAATGTTTTCTTGGGACCGAATTGTTTTTCTAATACTTGAAGTTTGTTCAGTATCTGAAAAACTAAAAGTAAGGGATCTGTTTTTATGGCCTTTTCAGGAAGGGCCACACTGATGCAGAGATTGAAGCAATATTTACCAAATACGACCAGGATGGGGACCAGGAATTGACAGAGCACGAACATCAGCAGATGAGAGATGACCTGGAGAAAGAGAGGGTGAGCTCACCATTAGGAGTGCTACACCAACTACACTGTCAGCCAGTTTGCTCCTTGTGCTAGTTTGCTGCCCCTGAAGAATCCTCTTGTTTCACTTTACATTCGCTCTCATCCCTGGCTGCCTGAGCAGAACTGTAAAAAGGCAAGGGGAGGTCATGGAGGGCAGGCTGTCTTCAGCCTTGACACGCCCTGTCCCCTGTGTACAGATAAGTCTTTTATATCTTGTCTGTTTGTGGCTTGTGTTTCCATGAAGGAGGATCTCGATCTGGATAGGAGCTCTCTGCCACGTCCTCTGAGCAGCCGCAGCTTCCCCCGGAGCTTGGATGACTCTGAGGAGGACGAGGATGAAGACAGTGGACACAGTTCTAGGAGGAGGGGCAGCAGCTCTAGTGGGGTTTCCTACGAAGAGTTCCAAGTGTACGTTTATTCTTGTTGGGGAGTGTATTTGCGTGGTGGGTTTTTCTGTTGTGCGTTTTTTCTTTCAGATATTTAGAAGACTCTCCTATAACTCTGAATGTTAGTCAAATTATTCAGAAAGTTACACGTTGCATTTTTAAGGTTCTCGAGTTGCTCTTTTTAATAGCTGTCAGGTAATACCTGCATCTGAATCTGAGGTACTTTAGAGAGGCTCAACACAAGAATCAGTATGAAAACCAAAAACCTCCTGTTTTTAAAACCTGGTCATTGAAAAGTCAGAGAAAACGGTCAGGTTAAAATAATGGCAGCAGACTGTTCTGCTTTTTCCATTACTAAAATCTTGAGGCTACTGTAGGTTCAGTGAGAACTTCAGTTATTGCTTTTAATTGATTGGTATTACTTGTGATTGTGTGTTTGGGGTTAAGTGAGAGATCTCCATAGGAATTAATTATACCAACAGTAACTGAATAAAGAAGATTGGTAACTAAAACCAATAAATTCTGAAGATGCTTCCAAATCAGGGGAAACAGAATAGAATATGTACTTTTTCTTCAATCTGCCTTTATCCCTGTGTTCTTTTCTTACTCTTATGTGCCTTTTCCCTTCGTAGACAGTAGAACTCATTTGTGTCAAGTCAGATGCCTGGCTTGAATTAAAATGCCATCTCGCCCTTACCCATTTACTCTGTGTTAATACGCTAGAATGACATTAACTTGGAAATGTCCGCAAAGCTGAAATGTGCACTTGTTCTCAGGCTTATGAGGCGGGTCGATCGCATGGAGCATTCTATTGGCAGTATTGTTTCCAAGATTGACGCTGTTATTGTAAAGCTTGAAGCAATGGAGAGGGCCAAACTGAAAAGAAGAGATGTGTTAGGGAGATTGTTGGATGGAGTGACGGAGGTAAGAAACCCCTATGCTGCTGTGTCTCATCACTTGCTGGTAACAACCTGCTTGGCTTGCTTATAGCTAGTGCTTTTCTTTTCTACTCCTCTGCTTAGAAGGATTGAGGGAGTTGTGGTAAAGATGAAGTGGGTGTTTTGGCAGTGGCCAGACAATTTCTCTTTTGTGTTAATGGAGAAGCGTGATCCAAGAGATTGGCATTAGAACCGGTCTTCTAGCAGGCCTGTGTCATGCTGAGGCAACAGCACAATTTATACCCCAAACAGGACGGCAGCAGTGTTCAGTAGTGGCTGAAGCCGCTCATTCGTCTCTTGCTGTGTCTTTGATGAACGTGAAGCTCTGTATGGACTAGTCTGGCAAAGTCCAGGTGATTCAGCATGGTGGGCTTGGACAGCTTATTCTGTTGCCAGGGAGAGCTGTACACCATGGTCTTTTCCCAGTTGATGCAGAACTTGTTGCACATGCACACAGTTAGGATCCTGTCTTCTCCGGATTTGCTTCCAGGGGTTGTATGTGGCCAGGTGGGAGCAAGTTGCTTCTCTCAGCAGTTATCTGTCCTCTTTTACCTCTCCTCCCACACCTCTTTCCTGAGGGCCCTTTGGCCAGATAAATTATTCCTCCAGACAGTCAGCCTTTTGAAGGGGCAAGGACAGCAGGAATGAGGCAGTTAGGAGTGGATGAGATGAATTGTCTTGGCGGGTTAGCTAGGTTGGTCTGGCAGCTGCTCTGTCACAGATAACGTGTCCCTTGTCCTTACTCCGTGTGCAGGCAACAATCCTGCTTGATCCTTGAACCGGGGCTGTCTTGCTGATGTGCTGTCTTGAGTACATCTTATATTTCTGGAGGTGGATTTAAATAATAGAAACTGTAATACAAAATGTGCTTCCATAAACGCAAGTGACCATCTGGGAGGTATGTTATTGGAAAGAAAACTATTTACTGCACTAGCTGTGATTCTCCACTAGAGTATGGAGAAGTTTGAGTGGTATTAGGGTTTCCTATATTTGTATGGTATTTTGATTAGCCTGTGGTTTGGAAACTGTGTATGTAGCTTGTATCTTTTATCTGTTCAGGATGAAAGACTGGGTCGAGACAATGAAATCCACAGGGAACAAATGGAGCGGCTTGTGCGAGAGGAGTTGGAGCGCTGGGAATCAGATGATACAGCATCCCAAATGAGCCATCGTTTGGGAACGCCACTTGGACTGAACGGCCAGCCTCGTTCGAGGAGCTCCCGACCGTCCTCCTCACAGTCAGATGGTATTGATGGAGGAGGAGGAGGAAATGGGGGGAATAACATCCATGTGTAAGATGAACGCTGTAGTTCATTCTGAATGTTTCGGGTCAGTATTAAGGCAGCAAATACTCAACTGTTTCCCATAGTGAGGTGATCACCCTGATCAAACCATTAAAGGAAAGCATGAGTGGTGGGTGAAAACAAATATTTTCTTTGTAAGGAATTTTCAAAACTACATAAGCCATGTGTCAGGTTAAAGCTTTCGGTAGTGAGATTGGTTGACCTTGGAAATGAACATCCAGGAGACAGAATGGAAATTAGGTGTGTCAAAATCTCTCTGCACAGAACTCTGTTTCTTTACATATGCTACAGGGAACAGTTTCTTGCAGGCAACAAACTATAGACAAAATTTGCAATAGGTACTTACTGTGGTCAGAACACTCCAACGAAGGAGCATGAGTTTTGTGCTTTCTATTGGAAAATACAGTTCTAAAATGCTAACTCTAAAGTAGATGGGTGCATTTGATTCTTTTCAAAAAGATGAAATTAATTTTTTATTTTTTACTCTGAATTTTTACATACTTGTCTGGAATCTTTCTTGGTGTATTTTGATCTTAATTTTAAATGCTCATTTTTTATTTGTTTTTTTTTTTTGGAGAAATACTGTGTTTCTCTAAACAGAACCGTACTTTGCCTGTAAACCTGTAATCCTGTTACTCTGTAATAGAGACCATATGCAGTACATACCTTTTAGTATTTTAAAAGTAATGTTCATGAACTGCCTGTTCACCCAACTAATGTTATCAGTTAACTTTGTTGCACTGTGCCTATTTTTTAATGCCACATTTTCATGGTCTAAGTATACCTGAAATGAATATTCTGCACTTTATTAGATAAACACGATCACTTTGCAGAAAATATATTCCTTAAAAGCACGTGAGATTGAAAACCCCCTTCCTTGGGTGTGAGGGGAAAGGGGGCAACGAAAAGTTGCTGACAGTTAGAAAAATCCAATCAAGTGTTCAATGAAATACTAATCATTTGTCTTGCGTATTTAGCCTGTTTTTACATTTTACAGATCTGCTTTTAACATTATTAGATACATTTCTACATATGCTTTTTTTTCCTGGGGTGCAACACTGATTCCTTTTGGCAAGTTGTTTTTTATATAACCACTGATTTTCAGTATTTCCTGTCCCGTGTTTTCTGAGACTGTGGAAGACTTTTTGTGTTTGGAAGGAGATGCAACACTGAAAATATGTAGGGTTCCTATAGAAAGCATAGTATTTATAGTTCTGTGTAGCAGCATGTTTTGATAGGTGGCACATTGGTTTGGGAGGGAGGTTGTCAGTTGTTTGTTTGTTTGCTTGTTTGTTTCCCTTGAAGATGGCAGTCTTGTATCAACGATTTACAGTTGGTTTAAATAAAAATGGAAAGTTACATAATCAAACGCACACCTTAGCTATTAGTAGAGAACATAGAGAAAAATGCCTGTTTAACAAGGTATAAATAGCATTAGTGTTCTATGTTGGTGCTTCTTGTTCTGCACAGTAATTGTTTCCAGAAGTTCACATGTCTCATTCTTCTGGTGGTATTACTTAGGCGAAGTTGCATATATTCTTGTAGCAGCATTGCCTGGACTTACAATGACTCAGAATATTTTCCCTCTAATTAGAGCGCTTGAACTTGATCAAGCTAAGTAGATTTCATAACGCCTTTTCCTTTATGTAAGTTTACAAGAAGCCAAATGTACAGAAACTTTCTTAATGCAAGATGGAGCAGAAGGAAGTTTGATGTGGAGACTAGAATTTCCTAGCGGGCTGTGGATCAAGAATAGAACAAAGCGGGAAGACAAATAATGATTCTTGTGAAGGTTTTTCTTTGTTCTCTTCCCCCGCTTCTTTTTGGCCTGCAATCGGATGAAATTCTAAGACTTTTACAAAACAGACCGTTGCTATCCCAAAACAGCGAGCAACACAATGGTTAGCATGTTTGTGTGAAATGAGACGCTCGGACTAAGCTCTCTTTTGCCTTGACTGGAAGTTTCTGGACTTTAGAAGCCTTCTTGAGTAAAGCTTTGCTTTGTTAAACTAGTGTTTCTGATTAAAAATAAAAAATCACTAGGCCTACACAAGGCCAGCTGGTGCGCAAGGAAACAGAAAATATAATTCAAATGAATTTACAATATACAAAATCTTGTCTTTGTATTCATATCCCAGATGTGTAGCATGTTGGCAATGTCATGATTTACAGTTTAAACTTTGAGGCATGCTAACAAATTATGCTTGTGTAACATGTAATGGATGTTGGGTTTATAGCGTCAACGACTACCTAAATGCCAGGGTAGTATTTAAATAGACTGTGTACTTAAAATTAGTAGCTTTGTTCAAATGACCCAGCTTTGAGCTTTCTAGCGTTCAGCTGAAATGCTACTAAGAAAGCCTTGTGTTAAGTTTCATGCCTGTGGCCTTTAAAGCATGTGGCACACTGCTGCTGGGGTTTATGGCAGGAGGAATCCGGGAGTGCGGAGAGGAAGTGGTGTAGCAGTTATTTGCTGGGGAGGCAGGACCGCCTTGGGAAAAAAGCAAAACAAAACCTATCAGTATGGTTTTAAATACATTTCCTGTAAAAATGTATCTTTCGGGCACGTAAACTGAGTCACGCAGCTCTTCTTCCTTTATAGTATCTGTTATTACGAAAACCAAAATGTTTGCTTTCATAGCTGTATTTGTTCAGGTATATTTCTGTAACGCGTCGTTACTTAATAACAAACTTCATCTTGAAGTGCTATAAGTTTTCATGGGGTACCCGTGTGTGCTGACAATGGGCCTTGCAGTAAATGCATGGCAACTTGACAAATGTTTTGAACATTTTTATTACGGTTTACTTTCCAATTTTAGATTTTCTAATATTGTTTGTCGCTTATTATTAAGGTAAGGTTGTTTGCATAGTAAAGAATGTAAAGTCTTTGATCTTCTTAGGAAGCTGTTAATTATGCAAGTTTTCTACAATGATCAAGAATTTATTGGTCTGTAAAACCAAGCACTTTACTTCCTAATAAACATTTTATATAAAGTATAAAACCAACATTGTGCAATACACTTGGATTATTTAACATGAAATATTAGGAATCCCACGTCTTATTTAGGTGTGTTCTTTCCCTCCTGTTATATCCTATTCTAAAAATAAATAATAACGTAAAAAGGGAACGAGCAGAGAGGACTGGGCTGATCTACTGCTTCACTCTCCAAAGAGAAAAGGTCTCGTTAGGCTCACTTAGTGTTTTTTCCGAACCAATGAATTAGGGAGAGAACAAGAGTCTTCCCTAATTCACTTCAAGTGCCTTTTTTTGACACTTTATTTTGTATTTTTGTATAACTACACAGATTTATCTTCTGCTCTTGCAGCTATCCTCTCCCACTGCTAATAATGCTCTCCTGTTAGTACCTCAGAGCTGATGTTTAAGTTAACATCTCTACCCTTTTCTCTCTTTCTCTTGGTCTTCCCTTTGATCTGAAGGATCCTGCAGCAGTAGTCTTTGGAGGATTCTGTGGCCCTTGGAAATCCCAGGCTCAAATATAAATCCAGCAGTTCTGTCTAGACAGCAGATAATAGGTAGCTGTCTCTCTAACACAGACGTAAAACAAAAATAATGAAAATGGAATGCTAAATTTGAACCGTCACAGTCTTTAATGAACTATATACATACTGAATTTAAATATTAAACCTTTAGTAAGTGTGCTCTAAAAGCCACAGCCTGCAGTAGGTGGCAGGCTTTTTTTGTTTTATTTAATACTGTGGGTATGCTAATGTTGACTTAGGAAAATTTCTTCAGGAAGTGCAGTTGGAGATAGGCAATTTTAAGGAAAACGAGTGTCATGGAAATGAGTCACATAATTCTTCCACCTTCCCCAGGCAGTCGCTTTGGATGCCTTGCATATTCTTCTCCAGTACATCTAAACAGGAAACATTTACAGAAAAAGAAAAAAAAAAAGAAGTCTGCAAGTGATGGTTATCATTTGTATATTTAGGCAGTACTGGGTTTTTTTTTGTTCCCGTTCTGTATGGAATATCCCGTGCAAGCAAATGGATGAGCAATTGGAGGTAGAGGAGTCCTTCTCTAGACACTGATTCCCCAAGCATTTCTCCAGAAGGAGTTGTAGGCTGTCTGCCCCCTCTCCGCTGCTCATTCCTGCCTGACCCTGTCTAGAGTTTGTGTGGCTGCGCAGCCCACTGGGGCAACAGGGAGCCCCCTCGGAAACACAAGTGATGGATGGCTGGGGGGGCCAGAATCAGCACTGTTCTCAGGTGTGAAGCCAGAGCCTAACACTTCAGAGACATCAAGTATATCATGTCAATCTCTTCTGAATTGAACTGCCGAAATTTTGACGCTCACAAATGGTTTTTCCCTTTCTGCAGATAAATTTAATTCAGAACTACAGTTGCTTTATGTTTTGCTAAATCTTTTAGCAAAGAAAAATTCTCTTTAATGTTCCACGTTGCAAAAGACCTGTGTGGTGTATAGTTGGTTTGTTTTTCATATGCATCGTTTTTCTTTTCCGTTTTTTAGTCTGGGTAGTGCAGACCATGCCCTGTTTTCACCGGAAAGGCCCTGTGGATGGCTGGAGAAAAATCGGTTCTCAGCTGTTAGCAAACAAATGATGAAGTTTTTACTAATCCATGAGGAATGGAAGAAAACATTACTGGTATGTAAGCCTTCAATAAGAGTTTGATTTGTGCTCTTTGAGTCTTTCAGAAAAGATGCAATGTGATTATTTTGAAAGAAAACGAATGTTTTGCAAAACAAGTCAGTTCTCTGCAAAGGAGAAATGCAAAAGCGATGTAAAAATTTTTTCCTTTTGCGCCTTCTTAAGGAATAGCAGCTTGGGTTCTGACGTATTTTCAGGAACTTATTAGGAGTGCAGTAAAAGGCTTCTAAATAGGACGTTGATTTTTGAAATTGTCTGTGTACCTCCTTTGCAGTAATGGTCCTTCCAAGTGTTAAGCACTGATTATGCAAAATAGGTACAGAAAGGCACTTAATGATTACGGTGGGAGACTGAAATTCAAGAGTCATCTCTCTTGCGTCTATGTTGCCTCATAGTTACCTCAAGTTACTGCACAAATTCAGACAGTCCCATATTGGTTCAAAGGGCCGTTATAAACAAGCTGGCACTGAAGAGCTAGTAACAGTAATACAGCAATGGGGTTGGAAGAACGTTTTGTTCAGACTGGAGATGCTTGGCAACTCCTCCCTGTCTGTTTTACTTCTACTTTAAGGAATATTTAGGGAGACTGAAACTCTGCATCACTGGCGGCCAAGAGCCGTCGTTAGATGCACTGAACGCAGCAGACCTGTACCTTTCTGTTAGGCCTGAATTGGACTTAGTCTAAGAGCAGCCAAGTGTTCAGTTATTTCAGAGAAGCCGATGGGGTACTAGTGGAGAGCAAGAAGTTCGGAGACTCAGGCAGCATATTGAGCCTGTGCTGCCAGCAAGAAATTCTTAATAATAATTGCAGACTTAACCTGTAAAAGGACTCTGATGCTGGCAACTTGCCCCAGTTACGCTTGTAACATTTTTGTCAAAAGTTTAGGTGGGTAAATTCATTAATTTGCAAAGCCTTGAAATGAATAGAAAAAGATTAAGAGATAATTCAAGGACAGACCGAAAGCTCATTAAAAGACTATTCACACAAAACAAACAACAAGAACATTAAAATGTTATGGAGCTAGAATTTGGTAAAATGCTGTTCGGATTCTGGGACTTGTATTCTTGAAAAGATCCTTCCATTGAGATGAGTTTAGCTTTGTTTTCAGATGAGTCACATTTAAGGTATTTTTAAAATATTCTAGCAGTGCCCTGACTGGCAGAAATGCCCACTTGTGTTAAGTGGCATTTTGCTAACTAGGCTGCTACTTTTCACTGTTGCTGGGAGTGTGGTAATGAAAAGTTTTCCAAGAAACACTCAAAGTAAAAATGCTCCTTTCCTCAGGATTTAAACATTGCATTCATCAGCATTTAAATTTGAAATTAGTAGTTCATTCCATTTCTGAGGTAAGCACGCATTTCTACTGTTTTCTAGTTACTCAAAGATGTTTTTAGAGCTGCTACGCCTCAATGCCATGTTATTCCTTTCTACCCCAACTCTATGTTTGGAATATTAAAAACACAAAAACAAAAAACACTCTGCAGACTGACAGCTACACCTGAAATATTGACTTCACTGTCCCCAGAATTACAGGTGGTTGTGTGTTGGGAGATGAGACTGAGACAAACCTGAAGATCAAGGAAAACAACACCTGGGAAATAGTACAGAAGACCTTCTGTACCATTCAAATCATTAGTCGCCAGAGGCCACTCTTGCAGCCACCAGAGGAATATAGCTCTCAGATTAGCTCTGCCCCCCCCCCTCCATCTTTATACTCCTTTGACAACATGCGGTTGTGAGCTGGTACTGTGCACATGTGCTTTCTGAACCATCTTCTTGACCTGGCCGTACACAAAAGGAGAAAGTCCTGGATCTGACAGTCTCTCAATTGAAGTAGGTTTTGATATATCACGATAGTCAGACTGTATAGAAAACGCATGTGGTTGTTCTAGTTTTAAAACTGTTATATGTTAATGAGCTTTAAACAATATTACTGTGTTTGGGTAGTTAGTCTTGCTAAGCTGCATAAATACCAAGAGGGGAAAGATTCCTTTAGGAGGAATTCTTTTCCCAGTGTCACCAATTTTATCACAGTAATGCATACCAAGGAGTGATGTGGACTTGATTTAGGCACGTTTTTAGAAACTTGAAGACGGAAAATTTGCCTAAAATTTCTGACACTTCTCCCCTTTCTGTAAACTAAGGAGCAAGTTGCCTGTAAAAGCTCGATCCTTGAAGTTCCCTTTTGAAAAAATACCATGGTCATTGTGACAGCCCCGAAGAAAGCAGGGAAGGAACACATGCCTGAATCATACACTTCTCTTGGTAAGAAATTCCCTTTTCTTTCAATGTTCAGTCATGTTAGAGTTGTGTAATAAATGCCATTTGGGTTTCCTGAAAAGATGTTCTTTGTCATTTAATACAGTTAGCAAAAGAAGCAGATTTGGCAGTGGTTTTAACTGGCTAGCTGGGTGTTTATCAATTAATGCCTAGCAAGCAGTAAAAGGGAGACTCTGACTGGGAGAGGAAATGCATTTATGTTAGGTTTAGAAATCTTTTCCCTTTTTTGGATAGCTAGCAGTGAGATGAATGTACGTTCTGTAGGACAAAAGGAGAACTCCTTAAGAAAAGGAGTGAAATGTTTAGATTGAAAGAAGTTGTTTGTGTCCATAAGAACCATAATCATACAAACAAATACATAGTAGATTATTTAGAGAATAAAGATCTGTGGCACTTGGAGGATCCAACAGGATGACTCAAGGAATCATTCTTGGCACTGCTAATACTTACATTATCAGAAGATTGCACTGTCTCATGCTGTGCTGTACTGTTTGTATGAAAATACATAAACACTGCGAGAGTGATTCCAACTTCATGGAACGTTAAAGAGATAACAAGTTCATATCTCATTTACTAGTTAATATCAGAAAAAAATTGGCTTTTTTTTTTCAAATTAAATAAGGGTCTCTTTTAAAAGATTTATTCTAATAAAATGTGTAGAAAACCTAGCACTTACTGTTAGCCTATAGCGAGGAATAGAGAAATATTTTATCCAGGAAAGAAAAGACTGAATACTCGTAACGTTTACTAGCAACTCAGTGAAAATCTGCTAACAGAAAACATGCAGTCACAAATCCAAAGAAGGGATTGTTTCAAGAGGTTTGAGATGCCTTAGACTGATGTCAGTGCAGTATCCAAAAGTAATTGTCATTATTGTTACCTAAGACCCCTGTCTGCAGTCGTACAGAACAGGGTATAGCATCCTAATGATTTGACTCTGTGCCTACTAGATCAACGGAAATATAATCAACTCCTTACAGGAAGCAGGTAGTAATCCCATAATATCAGAGAGGGAGAGAATAATTGCAATGTTGTATTATTTAAAGTAGAAAGTTAGTTAGGACAGCTTCTCTTCTCTTTGGAGTGAAACAGTCTGCTTAGACACTATGACTCAAGACCCTACTGGGTTATGGAGACGAAGACTATTTCTCTCAAAATATGAAAGAAAAGCATGAGACTAGAGAAACGTGATTTTTTTCCATAGGTCAGATTCGGCAATAGTGATAAGTTTGGTATTCCACCGCAGGAATGTAGTAAAAAAATGGGGTCAGTCACTCATAGAAAACAGTTGGGTGTGTGAACATATTTTGACCTGCCTACTCCTGGGTTCGTTAGCTAGCAGGGTTAATCAGTATGTCTGATGTCTTCTTTTACTTTAATTTTCTTATTATTTCAATTCCATGTTATGTCTTTATCCATTTGGATAATGATGATTTTCAGTAGTACAGCAACACTTCAGAAATTGCACAGCCTCGTCAATAAGGTTGTGAATTGCTTTCATTGAAGACCTATGTTTGTGTAAAATACCAGAGACTACAGAAGCAGTAACCACGCCTGAGAATCAAACGTTAAGTTTTCTCCCGCACTGGGCTGCTTTGCATTTTTTGATATGGTCTTTCCGGAGTACTTACAGGCATCAGCTTTGCGGTGTAGCGTGTGTGACAGCATAGTCAGACATTATTCCAACTAATATTCTAAACGCTACTCCAAATTTCCAAGGGGCTACGCTGAATTGCTTTAAATGTGTTAGAAATACTTTTTTCAAGTAGGCTAATTATTTGTTACGTCAAAGACACAGGGGAGGAAACTGAAAAATCTTCAAACACTCACAATCATAAAGACAAAGCAAATATTTATGAGGAGATTAGCAGCACTCACCACATTTTGTCCAGTTGCCGTTGCTAGAGCCATCGAACGAGCTGCGCAGGCAATTAGGATGAGAGTCATCATGGTGAGGAACGCTCCAACTGTTGGCTTGAAACCTGCAAAATAAACAAGTTGTCAGTCAATCTTTCACCAGACAGAGCTTTCTTGTTTGGGTGGCAATGCTGTATGTTGTTAGCTGTTGTTTATGCTCAAAAAAATTCTTTCCAATTGAAATTCATGTTCTGGACCTGTCAACACACAAAAGTGACTTCCTATGTTCAGAATCGCTTGGGATTTCTAATTTCCTTCTCCTGTAACAGTGGAGATTTGTTACAAACGGAAATGAGATTGTGGGAGTATAGATGAATATTTTGAGATGCTATAGACAATGGCTTTGTAGCTGCCTGTCTGGTGTTTTGCTCATTTGCTCAAAATTCTGCTAATCGTTAGATTTACACTCTGGAGGGATCAAGTTGGCAGCAACTTTAAAGTTTATAGTTTGGGTTTTTTTGCCATCTGCGACAGCAGTGGTTACTGGTCAACTCCTAAGATTCCAGCTCCCCGACTCTGCAGGGGCCCTGGATATTCGCAGCGTAAGGTGACACCCCCATTGGAAACATATTGTCTTTGGAGGACTAGCATACTTGAAGTTTTAAAAATCAGTTTACTTCTCTTGTGTGTTCTGCCTGTCTACATTCCAGCTCGTTCATTTTATTTCCCATTTGTGATTTTAGCATCTGGACCAGTTGCTCCTTATCTGTTTAATATTTAAAATGACAGTGACTAAAACTCACAACATATCTTTCTAATTGGTTTTGTAAGCTAACTCTTGACAATTCTATCATTTCTCCCTACAGTTTTCCTACTCCGTATTGTTCCGTTTCAGAGACAGCTTTTTCTGCCTCCTTCCAGGTGACTGGTTCCTTATTCTGTAAGTAATCCTGTAGATTTTATATGATTGGTTTGTAGTCTCTCTGGGATGATGCATCTTAATGCAATCATCAACACAATTATATACAATCTTTTTTTATTATGATTTATGTTTGTTAGCTGATATCAATTAGTAACTCTATTGACATTAATAGAGGTACGTGAATTTATCTTAAATCAAGACGCGCTCCAAAAATTATTCCACAAGTTAACATATAATAATAAAAATATTCCCTGGGAGGGTGCCTAAACATAATAGGAAAGCAGGGATTTTCCAATTTTGTTTATAATCAGCTTTTCTGTAAACTGTTGCTTTTCCCTGAGCCATTTAAAGCCCTAGGGGCTTTTACACTCTGCTTTCTCCATTGTCAGGCTTTGCTCTTCCAGTCACAGAATACACAGAAATCCAGATGTAAAAAGTGACTGTGGCACGTTTACTCTATGAAAGCAAGGCTATGAAATCCACATTGCTGACAGAAGCATAGCAATAGGCCTGTGGCTTATATCTATTACATACACAGTAAGAACTGGCAACATCTGATGCTGGGATTTCAACTTTGTTGAGACAGGGGAGAGGTAGGGAGCATGTCTCAAGGATTCAGTCAGTCCCTGCCTCCAGTCCTACAATGCTTGGGATTTCTACAGACAAGCGTCCTAACATCATAATTACTGTTAAATAGAATGCAGTAATTCACATCTGTCCCAGAACTTAATGCTGATGTTTGCTAGACCTGAAGAAAGATGACAGATAGAACAACAACAACAAAAACAAAAATTTAAAAAATAAAGCAATAGGCAGTGTTTTCCATAGGCAAAGAATAACCTACATAAGTATTTTTTTTCTGTGACACAATGTTCAATGGCGGTAATGTCCTTCATACACCGATTGGTAGTCAGAAAGAATAAAGCACTGACACTAAATAACAAATAAAAGTCACAAATTTGGTGAGCAGGTTTTTTAGTTCCTGAGGCAAGAGGATATTTCAGTGGGACACAGTACAGTAGAATAAAATAAAAGAGGTAACTGTACTGGTAATAATGAAAAGATTATTTATCTTATGGTAAACTTGCACCTCTTCCTGACTAAAACCAGGCAGGAGCTACCTAACTAGCTCTGTATAGAGCTAGCCATGTAGCTAGCTCCGTTCAGGTTTGGCTTCAGAGTAACACGCATTGCTCAGGCTCTAAATGCCTTGTGGAAGGGGTTGTCTGTGTGCCTGCTCCACAGGTATGGGTCCCTCAATGCCTCCCACAAGACCCCAATTAAACATGTGCTTCTTTCCTCACAGGTGGTGAATACATGGCCGATGAAGTTCTTACCAGCATACAAGGCAAGAAAGAAGATGCAACTTTTCCTGCAGCCCAAAGAAGCCAGTCACTAGTAGCAACTTCATCAGCCAAACAGGTAAGTTGGTAGGAAGAACTTCGGAGTGTCTTTGGCAGTTGTGAAATCTTTGCTTGAGCTGACACAATTTAGAAAGCCTATGAACAGTGTGAAAAATAACATGCTCAATCTCGGAGCCTTTTCCAGTGCAACTCTCAGGCCTTTTACAAGTACAATTTGAAAAGTCAATAGTGTAATTTCTTTGTAGTCCAACTACATGCAAATGTTTTACGGATTCAATTAAAGGAGTCGCTTGTTAACATCGTTTTGGAAAACAAGGTAACAATTCTTAAAACGTAGCTTATTTTCTGTAGCGCCTAGCGTTCTGCTTACTTATCAACAGATTAGAAAAGAAGTTAAAATGCTTCAGAAACAAACCTTATTAAAATAGTTACTTGAAGGCCATTCAAATTTTCCCACTGCCAGGTTTATTAGCCAGGTTTTTGTATACCAGTGGAGTCACTTTTTATTCCAGCAAAAATTGCTCCAACAGTTATTCCCACTAAAGTTATTTAAGTACCTAAAGAAATAAGAAATAGGTGTTTTACTAAAGATAAAATCTTGTTGAAAGCTATAATAAGCACAATATAAGACAATAAAAAAAATAATGAAAAAATAATAAAAATGGGTTCATGAAACTCAAGAATTTTTCAATCTAGGAGGTTAATTAGTAGCATAATAGTGTAATTTCTCTTTTTTTAATGGTAAGAAGATTTCTGTATCGTTCCTCAAATCACTCTTCAGTCAGCTTTCTGGTGATTTCTATAGTCAGTAAAGGCTGCTTGTATCTATTCAAGTATTTGTAATTAGGATAAAATGCCTTCAAAATGGTAACTCACCTCCCTTTATTTCAGGGGGAAAAATAATACTATACAGGATGTATTATTATCAACTTTGTTTTCTAGGTGGGTAATAATTAAAACTTTCCTAAATTATAAGAACTAAAATTGATAACTGAGTCTGAATTTATACACAGCAAAAAACATAGGCTACATCCCACTCAGTCCTTCATTAAGTTTGCTAATGTGTTCTAGTTCAAATGTAGATTGTTCAGAAATATATCCAGACTTCATGTATTGGTTTCAGGGTAATGGGAAATCAAGTAGATCTTTGGTTATTTGTATAATTGTTGTAGTTATTTTTAAACTGCATTTTATTTCCTAACTAGTGGATACTAGTGACTTAAGATTTGTCACTGGCCTGTTGCGTGTTAAAGGATCTCAAATAATATGTGTTTCCTTCTTTTGCTGCTACCAAAAGATAGGTCTTTTTTTTTTTTTTTTAACCTTTTTTCTCTTCTTAATAAATAAGCATGGAGCTTTTTCAAGCTTCTCTGAAGGCATATCACAACCTAAATTAAATGTGTTTTTTTCCTTTTTTTTCCCTCCTTTCTAAGTTGTCAAAGTTGTCAATGGTTTTTGTAAAATATGGACACTTGACTTGGACAATACATGCTAACACTGACTTAACAGCTGCATTTCGGGGTAGTGTATTTTTTATCTTTTGCAAATGCTATCAGGGATGACTAAGGCTATTGACGCCTTCTGAGGACTACTGGACAAGACCAGATCCCTAATGAATCTGATGATAATTCTCTGTTAAGAATTGTCTATCGAATTTATGACCTTTAATCTCTTAGTAGGTGCTGAAGTGACACCTATTGTTTAAGCACTATTTGGCATGTGACAGAAGCGAGACTCTGCTAGAAGCCTTACTATATTGCATCCAACTTTATCAGCTCATAACTTGTCAAAAAGTACTTAAAAATTCACTTGATAAGATCTAGTTTTCCATTTAAAAAATCTTAATTGGTGTTGGATTTCCTTCCTGTAATTAGTTATTACTTTGACAGTAGGACCTTAGTCAACCAGTTCGTCTATAATATGTCAAAAAGAAATTGTTTTCCAAGCAGCACTGGGGCAGCACACTTGGAAGCATTAGCTGTACCCAGCCAGTTTATAATATCTGTTCCTGCCTGTTATGTAGAAAGAACATCAGGTGCTTGTTAATTACAGAATTCATGGCTGAGAAATTACAGCAATTGATCAAAATGATGTTTAAACTGTAATGTAGCCAATGAACAACAAGAACGCTCGTACATCAGCAGGTTGGAAACAAGAGGCGCACATCAAAGACATGTATATTAGGGAAAAAACACCTCCCACTCCCTCCTTTGTTTTCTGAGGAGGATCAGGGGTGGTTTGAAAAAAACCCTGCTGTTCAGAAATCATATGTTTTTAAATGATACATTACAGCCAATGGACTGTTCATTACAGAGAACTATGATGTTGCTGGAATTGGAAAAATAAAACTTTCATGTTGTAGTTTAACTGTTTTAAGGTTGATTAGATGACAGATTTAAAAGAAAAATATTCAACCGTATTGAATAATTTCACATAAAACCCATAGTCTTTCAAAGTTTCCGAGGTTCCAGATAAAATCAATTATTGTTAAATATAAGCAAACAAAAAAAAAGAATTCCCATACACATAAACACATTTTCAGGGGAGTTAGTGATATAATCAGAATGATTAAATTCTGTACATCACTAATCTTTAAGACAAAGTGCAAATGACAAAAATCTCAAAAAAAACAATGGTATCAGGCAGTTCTGTCAGATTTAAGCATGAGCGATGATGCATGAGTCTTAACACCACAAACCACCTGATCCATGGTACTGTATCGCTAAGATCCCGCCGAAAGGACCGAAGGTCAGGGATAATTCTGTCCCTAAGCCAACTGTAGTGGAAAGCTAGGATCATATCAAGACCAATTTGGAGCAGATTAACAAACGAGGCTTAATGAACTGTGCCCCACTTAAAGAACGCATGTGAAATCCTTCCGTAATGAGGGTGAGCAGATAGAAAAGATTGTGAGAAAAAAGCCGGGACCGTTAACCTTGGGGTATTATAAGATCCTTGTGGGTGTAATTCTTGTCACAAGGCCAAGCTTTTACAAAGCAATTATTACAGATCTCCATAATATCAACATACAGGCACACACACGTACACAAAGCATTTTAACTTCAGGGATTCTGTGCTCACTTTCTGCTTGTAATCACTGTCTTTTTTTTTTTTTTTTTGAAAGTTCTTGGGTTTGGTGTTTAGGTTTTTAGTCACCTGTATTGCTTATAAAGCTACATGTTATAGTAGCTATACAGATTTATATCTCCTTGCTTGTGTTGAGTGTTATAAATGTCCTAGACAGTGCACAAAAAGGGGAAAGGCAACATCTCACTTCCCCCTTTCCCTCAACTCGCTGTGTGCGCTCCTCCACTGGAATGAAGAAAGAAAGGAGAATTCTCATCTCTCTTCCATAGCAGGCCTGGCGTTTTAACTTTCATTTTGAATGTATGTGGAAAGGTTGGCATTGGCAACCCCTGCCCATTTGGGTGGACTGAACTGAATCTTCCCAAAGAGAGTGTTGTGTCATAAGTGATCGACTTCAAGCAATTTAGTAGTCCTATCTTCTTTTGATCCAGTTATGTAGAATACTGGATAAAAAGAGAAAAATATAATCTTACTTTAAAGCCCATGAGCCCTGATAGTCAAGGCTGACAATACCAGTACTGTAATTCCTGCTCATGCAGCTAAGGTATAGGATATTATAAATCTCATTATAGAGTTGCAGAGCTCAGCTAACAGTTTGAGGGCCAGTGTGTGCTATTGTTAGCTCATTAGTTTATGGGTGTTCTCATTAAAATCATTGGGAGCAAATAAGCTACAAAGTGATGCATCTAAGAGCAGGGGAGACTGACCTTTCATTGCGATTTACAAGAATTCCGTCTGGGCAAGAACTCTTGGATTTGGTCTGAGCGCATGGGCCACTGCTGTGGAAATGAAGGCATACAGGCAGTACCTTAAGTTTCATGCACAGTGAAATATACAGTAAGTATGGGACAGTGGTGGAAGAAATATTTATTTCATGCAACTAATATTTTTATACATGGCCAACTGCTAAAATGAAAAGTATAAAGCATGAACGGTTTAGGGGTTCTACATAAGTACTATCTGTGTAATACTGTATCAAAGTCTGTTCAAAGTATGTTACGTTCATTGGATTATTTCCTTTTTTAAAAAGCCACTGTTGTATAGTGAAATTGATTATATAGTCGGGTGGAATATATAATATTCAGGTCTGATCCCATTTATAACTCTCGAAATGTTAAATGTTCAAGACCAGCTACAGTTACATGGGCTGTAGAGTTCTGTGGATTTATTTTTTAAATGTGTGCCACGACACCCACTTGAGCTGATGACCAAAGGAAGTACTGTATATGTTTGTTTTTTTTTTTTTAATCTCGGCTGATGGATTTGTTTTCCAAAGACACATTTTTCTAATTCTGCTTTTGTTTCTGTGTAGTCGGAGGACGTGGAGTACTGTCCTGCAAATTTCTTTGCAACAATCACATCACTGTTGATCCCCTCAGTGTTTCCTCCTGCTTAAAAAGGAACAACGTGCAAGTAAGCTCAAGTTACAAAGCAGTTTCTGTTAGTTTTGTACTTTGAAGGCTTTGTTTTCCATAGCAGCACTACATCTTACCATCGAAGACAAATTAGCCAAAGCAAGAATCCTGAATTGATGCTTGTCAAAATGCTACCTCTAGAACATAACCGTGAGTTGTCCAAAAGCTTAAATCCTTGCATTCACTTAAAAGTACCACCCCAGCTCTGAATGAGATCAGCTCAAAGCTATAAACACAAAACAGCTGAAAGAGCTGAACAGATTTATATTTCACCATCAAAATTTACATGATGGTGCATGCTTGGAGGTACATGTTTGAGCCTTGAACTACAAATTCTAATTAATCCTGTTCTCAGGAAAACAATCTCAGTGGAAGATTGTACTCATCAAAGCTCTGTTATCCTCCGTTGACTTCTCTATAGCCTTCTGCACAAAGGAAGGAATCAAAGGAAGAAATAAAGAGTTCAGCTCTACTACAGAAGATACAGCACATATTTCTCTTGGGTATCATGTCTAACGATGTTAGACATATTGTACAGGATAAACTGATTATACTTGCAAAAATATAGGACTCCTTCTCATGATGTAAAGTTCCCCTAAGTACCCTAGGAGGTTAAAATACAGTACTGTGTTACAGTCTTAGCAGCTTGGATCCATTCAATCAAGCCTTAACTGTATCCACAAGTACTCATGGATGCAAGCTGTGAAATATAAGTTTTAGTATCTGTTTCAGCTCGATTATTTTAATAATGACTGACCCAATTCTTGAAGTATTCATCATGTTTTAATATACTGAAATATTGTTCAGTATTTCAGTGGACTACTGCAAGGCAAAGACTGTTTTCAACCACTTCAAAAGAAAAAAAAAGATTTTTTGGAAGAGAATCCAAATGCAAAATTTCAAAAATCTCAAATCGCAAGTGAAAATTTTTCATTTCCTCATAAAAAAGATATTGAAACCTGACATGCTGGAAGGCTTTTAAACCCAGAAAAACATTAAGGGTGGGGAGAAATATTTTTAACAGAATACTGTACCAAGTCTCATATAAAACCTGCCTGGTGTGGCAACTTCTTTAGAGCTGTCTATATTAATCTGTAGTACTGTTTTTGTTGTTGTTGTTGTTTTTAGAAATATCATCTAGGTTTGCATTAAGACTAATCCAGCCTCAGAAAGTGTTTAAAAAGGTATTGATTATCTTAATCCTATTAGAAGTAGACTACCACCTTGCAAAGTAATATATTTTAATGTTTAATTATTAATGTTCTGTATCCTTGAGCTGCGAAAGAAATTTTTGCAGACCCTTGGGTTGTAAATATCGACTACTTAAAAAGCACAATATCAGTACATAATATTATATTTAAAAATAAAGGGGGAGATGCAAATGTATATGGGCTGGTGAAATGAAGGTAAGGAAACAGTCTGCACTGCAGTATGTCTCCCTCTGTAAAGTCTTTCAGAAATCGATTGGACAAGACTGAAAACAACCTGATCTAACTTTGAAGTTGTCCCTGCTCTGGGGGTGCAGGCTGGACTAATGACCCCCAGAGGTCCATTTCAGCCTGTTTTTTTCAATGATGCTATGAAGAATGGCAGCTGAAGAATCACATGTGGAAAACAGAAGTATCAGTGTACCATGCTAATCATCATAAAAATGACCAGGTGTTTCCTTACTCAGGAAACGATGCATTCTGCTTTGAATTTCTTTAAACAGCATGGTTTATTAAATCCAGTTACATCTGTGGGCATTCTTGGCTGCGGGCTTACAGGAACATTAACACAGAGTTTTATATGCCACATAAAACGTCAGAAAAGGAAAGAACCCAACGCTATTTTTTAATTCTATGGTAAGTCTAAAGAGGTAGTAGTGGGACAAAAATAAAGATTTAAATTGCAAATGTAAATTGATTTGACTATGAGAAGTCATATTTCAAAGCAGAAGCATTTTTAAAGATTTTTTTTTCTCTCAAATCGCAAACATTCTAATTGCAGTTATTTTCTTCAAATGTAGGCTGTTTAGACCGTTACCTTTATCCTAATCAAGCTTTTGGGGGTTAACTGTCTTGTCATGTCATTACCTTGGAATCTGCCACCTTCTTCAAACCCGGTTCCAAGACGATTTGGTTAACTCGCTGTTTCTTTTCCTGCGTAGGCATAGAGCTTCATAAACAACGTGCTGCTGAGAATTTCAAGTTTTCTCTTGCTGTAAGTGTCCCCATCACCACATCACCCTTAGAAGATAAACATAAATTTTACCCAGCTTTACTTCCCTTTTCATAATAAAAAAATATTGTTAAGTGTTACATTGCAATTGCAAACTGGCATTTTAATTTGTGGTGCCTTTCCAGGTCAGTCATGTAACAAGTTCTTATAGCTTAGACTAGGTAATTTAAGGCTTTCTTTGTCATGAAGAGTTCAAGAAAAGGCCACCCCTTTATTCGACATGGCATTTATTTCATTGCTGCCAAGAATCTTAGGTCATATGGGAAAGGGAGCTTCCTCCAGATCAGGAATTTCTGACAGGAATTTGTATCAGTTATCCATGTGTGATATAGAAACCAATATACAGGGGTTTTATCACAGTAAATTTCATGTCAGACATCTCAATGCAGGTCCACATGGAACGTCTGAGTTAATTTTAATTCAGAACGCGTCCTTTAGAATAGATTTTAAATAGCAAAGGCAGTATTTGCCTGTACCACATATCCAGAGATGCATTAAAAGCTGGCAGGCTCTGGAGCTCTTGTCTTTCAAAATGTTGCCACACGGCCTGTGTGGATCTTCCCCTGCAGCCAAAATATCCAGGCACCTAAGAAGAAACAAAATCATTCTGAAGAGAATCTGGAAGAGTAAATTAAAAGGAGTAAAGGTAAAGTAAAATAGCATGTTAATCTAGTTAACATAAAATGCTTAACCCCACTCTCTTTATTAAATATATGAAGTAGAATTCTCTCCAAATTCGTATTTGCTAAGCCAGTAAGTACAGCTGGCACCGCCACGCTGAGAAACCCAGTTTTCATTTTGCTCATCTGTTCTAACTATGTACCATCTGGCAAAAGTCTCCGACTTAACTTTATATCACAAGTAATATTTCTGCTCTACAAATCATGTCACTGAACATCAAAACACCTAATCTGAGCAAAGAAAGTACCATAAAGATTGAGCGTATGTATCTCAGATTCTGGGTTTCAATAGGAACAAGTTAGAATGCTTTGAGTTCTTAAATCTATCCATAGCAAAATCTTGTAGTCATATGCTGCTTGCCGAGATGTCTTCATGCAGCAGCAAATACAGTTGATGTAGAACGAATCGTTTGCTTGAACACTTACGAAGACTTGTCACTGCCAGCGTGTCCCAAGGTTGCATTAAGGACTGCTCTCAAAATCCCACTGCAAAACAAACACAAGATTATGTTATTTATATATTTATTTTGTTAATTTGAAAGTCTGTCCATTTCGGTATATTGTAAAATCAGAATATTTCAAGAACTAGTAAAATGCCTGAGTAATACAAAATTGTAATTTCATTCATATTTGGTTCTAATTTTTAGAGTAGAGAATCTGTCTGGCTGTATAGTTTTGTAAATAAGGCCAGTGTTTCCTGATAATCTAATAAGAACAAGAAATTTTTATTTTCAGAAACTTAAGTTATTTTACCAAAATAACAGCAAATGAAGCAAATGTGTAAATTAACAGCAAATATTTGTAATGGAAGATGCAGGTAGACTGATTTTTAAAAGAAAACAGGGTCATAACCTATTTTGTGAAAACAGACTGTATTCAAATAACTAAATAAATGAAAAATTAATGAACTAGCAAGTATTTTTCTTCCCTCAAGTTTTCAAGGATGTTTGCAACTTCAGGGCTATTTTTTGTTTGTTATTCTCTTCCTGCATGTATCAAGTCAATGTTTTTTCCTAAAATTCAGGTCAAATTCAACACCTTTCTTTATAAGAGCACCTATACGTTTGTACCTAACTTGTACAGTTGTACCTAACAACTTGTACCTTGTAAATTTGTACATAAACAACAGCTTTGTACATAAACTTGACAGTTACTGGCTTTTTAGAACCTGCTATGTAGGCCTTAAACCAGTTTCAAAATTCTTAATTTTCAGACTCACCAATACGTGAGCATTTAAGTGTGAATCAAGTTGTAAATGAAATAAATTCTGTATTTTATCTGCTAAAAAAGACACGTCTAAAGAATTATTTTCAGTTTCCAGTTCAAATACCATTTCATGTTTTTAGCAACACTAAAGAAGCAACACTAAGTCCTCCTGTAAGGAAATACATGTGTCGAGGATGATATAATAGTTTTAGGATTGAGACTTCAGGCACGCTCTGAAGCAGAAACACTTAAGAAAGAAAAGATGGTATGGGCCTTGTACAAAGGAGTGATGAGACTTGATTCTTCCCAAGGAGGAGGCAGATTGGTCTAAGGTGAACAGTTGCACTTGTTCTCATGGATAAGGGAGTATCGCTAGAAAGAGCGACTCTCACAAGGAAACCAGTCGGTTACTGTTGGGCTATTTAATTCAGTGATAAAATGTGGATTGTGGTGTAAAGAAAAAAGGTACTGAACAAACAATGAGCTATACTCGCCATGGTAAGAGGGTTTTCCTTGTATCTTTTTGCTTTCCACAAAGCCTCTGCAGCGATGGAATTTTGCTATGACTCTTTTTGCGATGAAATTTTGCAGTCACAATTACTAGGAGTATAGAAAAAAATACGATTCAACAATGCTTGTGAAGTGCCTGATCAGTATCTGAAAGTATGTTAACAATGCTTTTTTTGACTCAACTAGAAGGTGCTTTCTGTGCTGCTAGAAAATGTATGTGGCATTGCCACAAGAGAGGGCTGCACTGCCAAACTGACTGACGCTCCCTAGAACAATCTCGGTTCCTTCTGTGATGCTGAGCTTGTGGAGAGCCAAGTGACCCCACAGAGCGCCAAGCTCTTAGTGACTATCCCATGTCTAACTGAGGAGATTTCCAAAGCAGATGTTCTCCTAAGGTTCAGTCTTGCAAGACTCGATTAAGTATGCTCAGGTACCTGCCTAACCTCCAGAAAATAGAAGATGGTGCTGTTTATCCCCCCAAAGCCTGACATTAAACGCATTCTTCTGGGAGGTGAAATAACCAGGTTTGGATCCAGGCTGTGCAAAAGCGAGGATACTTTTTCTAGAAAAGCCTGATGAGAGTTGAGTAATTCCATTTGAGTGGAAGGTTATTGATAGTTAGTTTGAACTGTAGGAAGGTTCTTACCTATCCCTCCCCCCCCCTTCTTTTCACTATTTCCTTGTGGTTTGCTCAGGCACTCATCTCATGGCTCCCCTTCCCCTCCCGAGTGCTGACTTGCATGAATTTATTTTTCCCTTGCCCAAGTTGCGATTGATATAGATGAAAACTGGTGAACCTCATCTCAGTTACCACCTTAGTTCAAGTCTGGGACTATTCACTGCAACATATAAATCTTTCTGATAGATCTGACCCAGGTGATGGTATTCTGTTCTTCCAGGGCAGGAGACTAACTCAGCAGACCATGTAAGTAGTTAAAAATGAGAATTACGGATTTAACTGGGGGTGTGCTGTTGTATCTGTGCCACCTCACAAGAGTCTAGCTATATATTTGTATCACAGTGTTATTTCATCTAGTTTCAGCACATTTGCTGGATGTTTATGTGGAGCTGTGACAAAGCTGCATGAAAAGGGATGAAATATTAAAAAATATCTCCAGATCTGTCAGTATTTCTGTATTAGCTCTTTTTTGCCAACATAAAGTGCCATTCTTTGATTCTGCGGCACATTTTGTGGAAGGCTGCAGCGGCTTCAGCAGAAAACCTTTTTCTGAGTACAGACAGTCCACTTGTGGGAAAGCCGTTGCTGCTCGGTTCTAGCAGTTGAACGTCGCTGTGTAGCTGCTTCTGTGTCATTGCAGAAGACCATTACTGCTGGGAACATAGCGCATATTAGAATATGAATGAACAAGTTCACTCACAGCAACGTACAGCTAAGAGAGCAAAATCTTTGTCCTGATGATAAAACTAAATTTACAGTTACATTTAAGACACTGTTCTACTGATGTCTGCTTCTTCTGAC